AAAAAAAAAAAAAAAGAGTTTGAGACCAGCCTGAGCAAGAGCCAGACCCCATCTCTACTAAATATAGAAACAAGAGTAGGTGGGTGTTGTAGCAGGCCCCTGTATTCCCAGCTACTTACAAGGCTGAGGAAGGAGGATCTCTTGATCCCAAGAGTTTAAGGTTGTGTGACCTATGACACCATAGCATTCAACCCCAGGGCTGTCTCAAAAAAAGAAAAAAAGTGCTTTCTGAGTTCAAATTTGTATCACCACAATTCTAAGCAAAATATCTTTAACCATAGGCATAATGTCCCCAGCCTATACTGTTATTCCCCAAAGCCACCAGAAAAAGACCCCACCCAATTGCTATGTATAGACAGAGGTGAAATTTATCACCGAACCTCAAAGCAACCCTGGGATTTCTTTCTGGTGTCTGTGATTTCATTTATGCCCCACATCAAGTTGTATCCCATTGCTGAGTCTGATGCCGATAGCATAGTACATTATCACCTATTCTTGCAATCTGTAAAGAGTGATGTACTATTTGGCCAGGATATACCCACATTTCAGGGTGGACCCAACTGGTTAAGGGGCCATACGATGAGGAAAGTTTTGCAACAACTTAACTTCTCATTTCTGTTGAACTCCTGGGTGAAAGAAACTATGGGCTAGAAAAGGAGAGATTTAAAGGGTAACACTTGTTTTTCTGGTTCCACTGAGGGACCACTAGGATTCAAAATATCATCTATCTCATATGCCCACCTGCAGGGCTGAGCACAGAGTACCCCTTACCCTAGCTTAAAAAGTTGTCATAACTGAATTAAAAGCCCAAAATGATTGTGCGACTTTGGGCAATTCTCTTTATTACCTAGACTTAATTTAGGTATGAATTTTCAATATAGGGATAGTCAATCCATCTTGGGTGGTGAAAAATGAATACACACAAAGCAACCAGCACAGAACTGACTCATGATAAATGATCAGTATTATTGTTCTGGATGAAAACACTCATTGGGAATTTCCCTCGTGCAAGGCAGGGTTCTATCCCTCTCTAGAGGTACTGACCCCTTTCATCTCCCTACCATCCAACAAAGTAGCTACTATTGCTATCCTCACTTTACGGACTGCGAATCAGAAAGGAAATTCCCCAGGAGTCAGAAGTTCCAGCTCAGAAGCTGCAGACCCAAGTTTGGAAGCCTGGCTGTCTGGCTGGCTCCTGTTGGCCGCTCTGCTAAGCCCTACCAGTGTGTGATAGGAGCCAAGCTGATCTCTGACCTGCCCTTCCCCCAGCAGACACCAGAATTGTCTCCGTCACCATCGTCAGCTGCATCTCCCTCATCCTCCTCTTCCTCTCAGTGGTCTTCATCTACAGGTGCACTCAGCCAGGTGCGTTCAAAGAACGGGAAGCGGGAGGGAGAGTGAAGGCTTTTTTCAGCAGGTAAATTCCTCCCTGTATTTTTTATTTTTTTTTAGGGTCATCACATGAGGAATCTGCTGAGAGGTAGATACTGACACACCTCACGCTCCCCTTAAATCCCCGGCTTTCTTCAGAGACCCAATCTGTATACAAATGACTGACACCCAGACCCACCCTGAGCCTCCAACCCCAGCTCATTCTGTGACCTCCCTCTCTTCTTCAAAGCCCTCATTCTCTCTCTACCCCAGACCTTACAGATTCCTTACTTTCATGTGCTTTTTCTCTCTCTCAGAACCAGCTGTTCCAAATTTCCTGAGCAGGAGGCTACAGGTCAGTGATAAAGGAAGTTAAGAGAATCACAGGACAGAAAGGCACTCTGATTCCTAAAATATGAGAACTGATTTTTTTTTCTCTCCTTGGCATGTAGAGTTTTCCAAGATGGAAAGGACATCTCTCTCGGTGAGTTCTGCCCCCTAGAGGTCTCCCCAAGAACTCACTGACCACCACAAGCTAGTTAAACCCATTCTCTGGTTGTATCAATGCCCCCAACTTAAGCAGAGGAACTGGACTCCAGCTCCTAGTGTCTGCTATTCATCTGTCATCTGTGTGGTCTTAGGCAAAGGAGGATTGCTTTGAGAGTCCAGGAGTCTGAGGCTGCTGTGAGCTATGATGCCACAGCACTCTACCTAGGGCAACAGAGTGAAACTGTCTCAAAAAGCAAAACAAAACAAGAAAAAGTTGTCATTAATCACTGACATATAATCACTGTACTATACTACTGAATGCTAGAACTTTATTCCTTCTGTCTATCTGTATGTAAGATCTGGTCTATTTTAAATGTTTGGTTTATGGCATTGATGAATAAATTGTTGATAATAATATTACAAGACTATAATATTACATGATCAGTAGCTATTAGATGGTAGTTTTTATTCTCAGTACTGTATACTTGCACTAATTTTAATCAATTGTGTTGTTCCATTAATGCTATAGTCAAACCTCTGAAGCATGGCCATTCTAGAATGGTGCTGTCCATAGACCTTCCCACAACAGTGGAAATGTTCTCTTTCTGTGCTGCCTAAGGTGACAGCCACCAGGCCACATATGGCTATTATGCATTTGAAATGCATCTGGTGTGACTGAGGACCCAAATACTAAGTTTTATTTAATTAATTATTTTTTTTTTTTTGAGACAGAGTCTTACTCTGTCATTCTGGGATTGAATGCCGTGGCATCATCATAGCTCACAGCAACCTCAAACTCTTGGGCTCAAGTGACCCTCAGCCTCAGGCTCCTGATTAGCTGGGACTTCAGGTGCCTGTCACATTGCTTGACTAATTTTTCTATTTTTAGTAGAGATGGGTTCTCACTCTTGTTCAGACTGGTCTGAAATTCCTGAGCTCAAGGGATCCACCTACCTTGGCTTCCAAGAGTACTGGAATTATAGGCGTGAGCCACCGTGTCTGGCCATTAATTTAAATTAAATAACTCTTCGTGGCTAGCAGCTACCATATTAGACTCCTCAGCTCTACACACTTATCCATAACCATCTCTTTTCCCAAAGGCTGAAGACCTGGCCCAAGGAGTGACCTTTGCTGAGTTAAATGCCAATGCGCCAACCGAGGCAGTTTCTGTCCCCACTGAGGAGTCACTGAAAGTATAGAAAGAAGATGCCAAGAGCTACTGGGGGAGGACGGAGGCAGGTGGGGTGACTGGAATGTGGAAATCCAAAGGGCTCTGTGTTCCTCACCCCTAATCCACATCAATAAAATTAAGTTTCTCATCTTTAAAAATTCTGACTTATTTGTGGATTACCCTTGCCCAAGATCTCTGCCACACTGTCTCTCACCCCACATTTCCCCCTAGAACAATTCAAGGAAATAATCAATAATTATTGATCCAGCAAATAATTACTGAACACCTCCAGGAAGCAAAACAAGCAAAACAGAAAATGGCCAGATTGATTCAGTTCAGTTCAATGGCCTATTGTGCCCAATGAGCGGAAAATAGAAAAATTGTAATACAAAGATCAGGCCAGGCACAGTGGCTCATTCCTGTAGTGCTAGCACTTTGGGAGGCCAAGGCAGATGGATTGCTTGAGCTCAGGAATTCAAGATAAGCCTGAGCAAGAGAGAGCTCTCATCTCTGTTAAAAATAGAAAAACTAGTGAGGTATTGTGGTGGGCACCTGTAGTCCCAGCTACTCAGGAGGCCAAAGCAAGACGATCACTTGAGCTCAAGAATTTGAGGTTGCTGTGAGCTATGATGACACCATGGCACTCTACCCAGTGTGACAGAGTGAGACTCTGTATGTGTGTGACACACACACATACACACAGAGATTAGCAATAATTAGGCAAAAATAGAAAGCAGACCTTGAGATGATTCATCTATAAGCCAAGAAAGACCAAGAACCCAGCAGACCACCAGGGGCAAGGCAGGAAGCCCAGATCCTTCCTCACAGTCCTCAGAAGGAACCCACCCTCCTAACAGCCTGATTTCAGATTTTTGGCTTTCACAACTGTGACATAGTCAATTTCTGTTGTTCAAGCTGTTCAGTTTGGGGCACTTGTTATGGTGGCCCTAGAAAACTCTTTATGCTACATGGATGCATTATTCGTGCAGAGATACACAGGGACAGATGCACAACAGTGGCTCCCAGGCACACCTACAATCTTAGAGATAGAGCTACCAGCAGGGTTGGAATCACAGACTAAAAGCCACATGCAGTCACATGAAAACACACACACACACACATCCTGCAGCTCTGTATCCACAGGGGCCCCACACTCATAGAATGTTTTCTAAGATGGATTATCCAGGATGTAGACCCCCTGGCCATTGCTCCAACTGGATGACCGTCCAGGTTAATGAGAGGCAAGAAGAGAGTGTCTTAGTCCATCCCTGCTGCTGCAACTAAGTACTACAGACTGGGTGGCTTATAAACAACAGAAATTTATTGCTCACAGTTCTGGAGGCTGGGTAGTCCAAGATCAAGGTGCTGACAGATTCAGCGCTGATGGTGGCCTGGTTCATGCATGGTGCCTTCTCCCTGTGTCTTCACAGGGTGGAAGGGACTAGGCTAGCTCTCTGGGGTCTCTTTTATAGGGGCTCAAATCTCATTCATGAGGAACCTAATCACCTCCCAAAGTTCTGACCTCCTAATACCATTACCTTGGGGGTTAGGTTTCAATCTAAGAATTTTAATGGGGACATAAACATTCAGTCTATAGCACCCATGAAGTTGAACCTGCCTGTATCCAGCTTTTTTATAAAAAAGAAATTGTATTTATTTTAGATACATTACACATTAGGCAACCCCAGCCCAACCAGGAGCTCCCAGGAATGCAGCATTTTGAGGAGACAACCTCTTTGCCCCACTGCCCCACTGCACAGCCCCTGGTTGATGAAGTACTGAAGTCATAGCAAGGAGCAGCTGGGAGTGGGGGAGTATCTTTCTGCTTTTCTAACCACAGAGAGTCATTCCCTTTAAAATTTGGAAGTTCTTGGTGACCATCTGTCCCACCATGTGGAGGAAGCTAGTCTTTAAGGAGAAACACAAAGATGACTCAGAAAACATCCGGGAAATGAGAATGAGTAACAGTGCCTTTCAGCTTTTGTTTTCTTGGTTCTAATTGCTTCCAAAACTCAGCTTTCCTTCACTCCCTGCAGTTTTCTTGTTCAATCATTCTTGAGCCCAAGAAAAGGGAAAAAGCCAAAGAAAGAAAAGAAATGAAACGAAGTCCTTTTTTGAGTCTAAGCTAGTCTGAGAACAGATTTTGTTTTGAGCAAAGAGTGCTGGCTACCCTTATTGAAACTGATGATCCCAATAGCATTCTTCATGGCCACCTACCCATACTCCTTTAATAGTTACTACAGGAAGTCTTGATATGTGCCAGTTTTCTTTTGCTTGGTACTTACATTGTGTATCTTTCCTCTATGCATTAACTTTTAACCTTTCTATATCATTGGGTTTTTTTTTTTTTTCAGTTTTCCGCCGAGGCTGGGTTTGAACCCACCACTTCCGGTATATGGAGCTGGCACCCTACTCCTTGAGCCACAGGCACTGCCCCCTATGTCTTTATGTTTTAAATGTTTCTCTTAGAAATGAAATGCTAATTCTTTTCAGTTCAACCAAATGTTTTCTTCTTCTAACCTGATCCTTTAGTTCGCTGACATAATAACATTGGCTGCTTTCCACAAGCATGCAATTCTAGGTTGGGAGGTTGCGTGTTTCTAGTACATTGAAGCTCCCTGCACTGTTCACCGCTTCCTGTCATTTTTTTACTCTGTACAGCTGCTGTTCCTTTGAATATTATCTTTTTCCACTTGGTACTTTAATAATTTTTCGCTGTCTTTGATTTTCTAGCTTCATTGTGATGCTGAAGTTGAAATCTATTTGAACTCTCAGAGTATTTCCCAGGCCTCTTGAATCTGGGGGTCGGTATCTTTTGTTGGTTGTGCAAGATTCCCAAGCACTGCCCTTCAAATATTGTCTCTGCCTCATTTTCTACCTCTTCCCTTAAACTATAGTCAAATTGATATTAGTCCTTCACATCTTTTTTTTTTCCTTTGAGACAGAGTCTCACTTTGTTGTCCTCAGTAGAGTGCCCTGACATCATAGCTCACAGCAACCTCAAACTCCTGGGCTCAAGAGATCCTCTTGCCTCAGCCTCCCAAGTAGCTGAGACGATAGGTGCCCACCACAAGGCCTGGCTGTTTTTAGAGACAGGGTCTTGCTCTTGCTCAGGCTGGTCTCAAATTCCTGAGCTCAGACAATCCACCTGCCTCAGCCTTCTAGAGTGCTGGGATTACAGGCATGAGCCACCGCGCCTTTCCTGTCCTTCACATCTTTTACCCTCTCTTTTGTATATTCTACCTTTTCTGTATGTATTTTTTTCAGATTAATATGAGGGTACAGATGATTATGTTACATTGTTTGTGTTTGTTAGGTATAGTCCAAGTTGTAGTGGCGGCCGTCACCCAGGAGGTGTACCATGTACCTCTATATTGTGCTGGTTAAGTGAGAGCACACCAATCCTTCACCCTCCTTCCTTATCCCCCCTGCCCCTCACTTGAATTTAATTGAGTTTTTCTTTTGTGTGGACATGTAATTGTTCATCTAATGGTTTCATATTAGTATTGAGTACACTGGATTCTTGCTTTTCCATTTTTGTAATACTTTATTAAGTAGAATTTTCTCCAACTCCATCCAGGTTAATTTAAAAGATGTAAAGTCTCTTTTCTTGAATAGATGAATAGTATTCTGTGGGGTACCTATACCACAATTTATTAATCCATTCATGTTTGGATGGCACTTGGGTTGATTCCACATCTTGGCAATTGTGAATTGAGCTGTGATAAACATTCCGGTGCAAATGTTCTTATGGTAAAGTGATTTGGTTTTTCTTCTGGGTAGATACCTAGTAATGAGATGGTAGGATTTTGTGTGCCTTTATTCTACATTATGAACAGTTTATTCTGACCAGTGTTTCAGTCCCTCAATTCTTTCTTCAACTGTGTATATTTTACTTCTAAATGTGGCCACTGATTTTTCTTCATTTCCAGAACAATTTTTAAACTATATTTGGAGTAAAACACATGTACACAAAAGGGCATATTTCACCTTCCCAACAACCCACTCAGGTAGAGGCTAATCTTATCATCATTCCCATGCGGATGTGGAAACCAAGGCGCAGAGGGGTAAGGTAACTAGTACACAGGCAGGTGTTGATTCTCATTATACTGATCTCAGAGCCCAGACTCTTTTTTTTTTTTTTTTT